CTAGTAGACAATCACCTAAATATGAGCCAGCAGTGTGCTGCAGCTGCCAAAAAGGCCAACACAGTGCTAGGCTGCATTAACAGAGGGATAGAATCAAGATCACGTGAAGTATTAATACCACTCTTTAATGCATTGGTAAGGCCACACTTGGAATACTGCATCCAGTTTTGGTCACCACGATGTAAAAAAGATGTTGAGACTCTAGAAAGAGTACAGAAAAGAGCAACAAAGATGATTAGGGGACTGGAGGCTAAAACATATAAGGAACGGTTGCTAGAATTGGGTATGTCTAGTTTAACGAAGAGAAGGACAAGGGGTGACATGATAGCAGTGTTACAATATCTCAGGGGCTGCCATAAAGAAGAGGGAATTAAGCTATTTTCCAAAGCACCTGAAGGCAGGACAAGAAGCAACGGGTGGAAACTAATCAAGGAGAGAAGCAACCTAGAACTAAGGAGAAACTTCCTGACAGTGAGAACAATTAATCAGTGGAACAGCTTGCCTCCATAAGCAGTAAATGCTCCAACACTGGAAGTTTTTAAGAAGAGACTGGACAGTCATTTGTCCGAAATGGTGTAGGGTTTCCTGCCCGAGCAGGGGGTTGGACTAGATGACCTCCAAGGTCCCTTCCAACTTTACTACTATTATTATTAATTAAAATGGGCAATGGGAGACTTTCCTTTGGTTTATGTATTCTGGCTAGAGATGAAGGGAGACTTATTTGCGGATCTAGAGTCTTTATTATGGAAACCTGTTTGGAATAGAAAGAAAGCTAGAATAAGATATAAATATAGAATTTAAGATTACAGTTATGGGTTGCAAAGGCTTCATAGAGATGTGGATTGATTTGGATTTGGACTTTTAAGAGGTGTTATTAGGATAAGATTTAGAATTTAGTATTAAAATATAGTAAGAATACACTCTTTGGAATAAAAGATCTTCCTTTTTTTCTCTTTCTTCCTCCTGGTCTGTTTCTGTCTTTTTTTTACTAGTTTTTCTATTTTCTTTTTATTATTATTATTAGGTATGATAATTAATTTGTGGAGATATAATCAGAAAAAGATTGTAATAATGGAAGAGATGAAATTAACAAATGAAGAATTACTGAATAAGAAACAAAATATAGTTAAGAAATGTAAGAATGTAATGATGGAAATAATATGTTTAAATAAGAGAAGTTAGGGACATCTAATTGGTAAACAATATGTCTGTTTAAGGCTAAGTTGGATATGGTATTTGGAAATTAATAATAGCTGAAAACAGGATTTTGATTTACATAGGTAATGGGTTGCTGATAACTTTTATTGATTAATGGAATTTTTATTTAGGGATGTATTAATGAATGAATTTTATTTAGAAATGTTTTAATTTGAGTATATTATGTTAATTGATAGAGAGGGAAATTTTAAGGAGTATTATTTGAACCGTATATTTATGTTGTTATTGTATTCAACTGATTACCCTATCTCCACATTGGCTCTTAAATTTCTTGGTACAAAAATGAAAAAACCAATAAAATTGTTTGGAAAAAAATGATGTTTGCTATTCTTCTCTTTTCTTGTCCCTAACAATCTTTCTTTTTAATGTGCATTTTACCCATATGGAATTTAGACATAAGTTGGAGAGTTTTCAATCCAAAAGATAATTGTATTTCATCTTGCAATTATCTTATTATATTGCTATACATCAGTATAAACAAAGCAAACAAAGAAAAACCTCTGCTTGAAATGATTATGTATCTGTTTATATCACTAGTATTGTTATAGGTACACTTAAACATCAGGTTCCTATAAGCAAAACATCATAGAAACATCAAATTTGAAGAAAATAAAACTTTTGGGAGAAATGTGTTTGATTTGCATTTGAATAATACTTAATCTAATTAGATAAAGTTCTTTATATATCTCTCTCCCTCCTCCCCAAAAGTATGAATCTTAGATGAAATTTCTTCTCACACAGATTCAGAGAAGTTTTTGCAAATCATTCTCACACTATATTTCCTGTAGCAGAGTAATGGTTAAAGGGCTGGATATTGGAAAACTATGAATTCTAATCCTATTTTAGACACAAAAACATATTGGATGATGTTGGCCAGTCATTCTCTTCTATTTTAGCCCACTTTATTTCCTTGTTGCATGGAAAATAAGAGAAGGAAGCATTATTCATGCTACTTTGTGCTGTACAAAATAGAGGCACAATCTAAACCTAATAAGTAAATAATTATGACTTCATGTAAAATGCATTTCATATATATGAAGTGGCATATAGTTTATAAAGGCAAAGCGTATTCTGTTCTGGCATTGCAGATATGAATTACAAATTTTAATCTGATGTTTTAATATTATTATCAGCTCAATGAATCAAAACATGACATTACCTAAATATATTTTGATTTTGGAAATTGTTGTGAATAGTGAATAGTGAATTGGCATAACAGTGAATAGAATTGTATAAATCCACCCCTGATTTTTCCAAGCTTTTTTAATTATAGAATTAAATGTGCAACAGAGTAATGTCTTGCAGCTTTTTAAATATTTTGGAATAAAACCATTATGATTCAAATCATGCAGGAATCTATTGTTGACTTGCATGTGGATCTAAGGGAGAAATTTGGCCTTCCAGATGACATTGAATTAAAGTAAGCATCTGCTATAATAAATATGATCTTTCAATTGGTACAAGAATCTTCATTCATTTTTTATGTAACAAACTAGGCTTTAAGAAAAATTAAAAACAAGACATCATAAGATACACAAAAATATATTGTATAGTTGAAAATATGTCTTCATCATCATCAGCAACAACATCTACATAACTATAATAATGGCAATACAATAACAGTTTAAGAATTGGTGAGTAAGGCTATGTTTTAAGGAATTGTTTACAAAGTCAACAAAAATAATGTTTCATACTCATGCAGAATTTTGCTAATATTTTTTTTATGGCATCTTTTACTGGTTTGTTCCTTAAACTGTAGATAACAGGATTAAGTATTGCAGGGGCCATTGTATAGATGAGAGAGAGGAGCTTGCCTAAAGAATCAGAATGCTCAAACTTGGGTCTTAAATAAGTGAACATAGCTGTTCCATAGAAGAAGATAACAGAGACCATATGTGAAGAACATGTGCCTAAAGCCCTTTGTCTTCCAGCTGGGACAATAAGCTTTGAGACGGCAGTAATAATCAAAATATAGGAAACCAGGATAAATATGAATGGGGTGATAAGAACCAGAAATACAGCTAGAATATTTTCCACATTATTTATAAAATTGCTTGGGTAATTCAGTCTCATCAGTGGAGAGATATCACAGAAGAAGTGATTAACAACATTAGAACCACATAAGGGTAGAGAAAATATCAACCATGTCTGTAGTAGAGATACAAACAAACCAATGACCCAACAACCAGAGACAAAGAAGAAACAGGTTCTCCTGGTCATCAGTCTCATATAATGCAAGGGATGGCAAATTGCCAAGTAGCGATCATATGCCATTACAGCCAGTAGGTAACACATAGCAGTTCCCAGGGAGATGTAAAAGAACATCTGCATGGCACAACCCAAGAATGAGATAGTCTTTCTCTTTGTTATGAAGTGTACAAGCATTTGAGGCAGAATGACAGATGTATAACAGATATCCAAAAAAGATAAATGCCTAAGGAAAAAATACATGGGAGTATGTAGAGCCTGACTAGAAATAGTGGCCACAAAAACTAGCATGTTCCCCATCAGGATAAAAAAGTAGAATATCAGGAAAACAGCAAAAAGCAAAGCTTGTAAATCAGTTCTTTCAGAAATTCCAAGGAGTACAAATTCAGTAGGAGTGCTACTATTCCCATTCATAATTTTGGGGCGCTTTTCCTGTATGGAAAGAAGAAGGAAGTAGGAAGGCAATAAGGAAGATACATATTAATTTAGGACTTGGTCATTTCTCACGTTTATGACAAAAAGAGAATCAGCAATGTGAATTTCATACAAATATCAGAACCTTACCTAAGGTGTTCACATTGTAATTGTAAACATGTGGTTTGTACTTTTTCTAACTTGAAACAAGTTTAATTTTATTTTGCATTCTTCTGAATTTGAAATGCACATGTGCATTCAAAATCCAGGTACAGAATCCATTACATCAGGGGGAAAATTTATATATACATTGCCCCCCCCAAAATAGGGGAAAATGGAAAGAAGAACAATTCTGACTAAAATCTACTTTAATTTTAAGGAATGAAATGAATATGTATTTGAAACAAGGCAAACATTAAATTAAAAAGGAGGGAATTATTTCATAGACAATATGGAAATGGATTAAAAAATGCACTTCAGTATGTTCATGATTTTTTTATCTAAGAGTAACACTAATAATCAATTTAGCTGAATATATTGCTCCAGGTTTGTTCCTTTGTAAGATCATGTAGGTAAAAAAACAACAACACATTTACAGCACAACTCTCCTGTTTCCATTTCCTGCTAGATAGATTGCAAAATTAATATATCTTGTATTTAGATGAAAGAGATACAAAGAATGCATTTACTTTTATGTATCAACAATGTAAAGATATTAAGATAAATTTGGAGTATTTTTTGAATAACTAAATATTTGAAAACCTATGATCGGAAAAAGATATAATTATTTTATAGGCACAAATATGCTTTTTTCTGAGTAAGTTTTTCTCCTAAGATCTGCAAATATATGATAATTTGCTTTTTTATATAATTAAATACATTGACCTATATCTCTCAATCATTATAAGCATCAAGATTGTTTTGATGGAGTCCTATTATATCTTCATTCATTTTAGTGCTAGCTCAGCTCAGGATATGTAGCTCTTACACAGTTTTATATTATCTACATGCTGATAGAAATGCTACTTTTAAAAATGCACATGATATAATTTAACACATATATAGAATATTCTTGTTGTAGACAGTAAAATAACTAGCAAGACATATAAAAAGAATTTAAAAAAATCTAAGCAGGATATAATTTGAAGAGAAATACCTACCAGTGAAAAGCTAAGCTTTTCTTAAAATTTGAGTGTTTGAGTTTTCAAACACTCATGCAGTATAAAGAATTATTGAAGTTTAGTGATTATAGCTCCAGTTCTACAAACAGTTCCCGGCATTTCCCCTGATAGTAAAACAGAAAGAGGAGAAAGAGTTATATTCAAAGCAGCAATATACAGAATGATTAATGAATTTAGCTTCTTTCAATTAATTTCCATTGGGACTTCCCATTGAAGAATGATGAAATATTTCAATAGCACTTTGATTTAACCCAATTTACAGATACTTTCCCATTTATTTGAATATAACTGATGGCTTGGTCTGTCTGTCTGTTTGTCTATGTAGCTAGCTAGCTAGCTAACTAACTAACTATCTGTCAGCTGTCACTTTATGCTTGCTTGTGCTTTGCTGATATGTGGCGACGGACTGCCATGAACTGTGGAGAGGAGGAATGAAGGGGGGAAATGTTCTGGGAAATGAAAGTAAGTGCTATATCTCCTTGAGATGCTGCCTCAAGATCACCGAACTGGAAGAAGGAGGGGGTCAGATATTAAACTATACTTGGACTGGCCATTAAGAAAACATTTTGCCTGAAACTGATTTGTTATACTGGGGTGGCAATGATAGATAGTTAAGGGAAGGAAAAATAGAACTTAGGGATTTTGGCATGTGGTCTACCTATATATCTTTCATCTGTCTGTCTATCAAACTTCTTATATAACTCTCTGTGAATCTGGAGGTTACCTTATAGTTACTGAGTATTTGCTACTTGAAGAAGAGCCTGTGAAAAACTGCTGCCTGGATCTGAGGCCCACGGCCTGATATGGGCCATCAAGTTAGAAAAGTGCCCACACAGCATGAACAAATGAGATGATACCTCCCACCTACCAGCCATTTGGAAAACCGCCCTTATTGACAAATGACTCCCTAACACAAAGAATGACACCAGACCCACACTCACTAAAACCACACAGGATGTCACCACCACACATCCACACAAAAAGCAAACCCAAAGCCACACCGATGATGAAGCACGACCACATACCAGAAGCCAGACCACAGCTGCATCATTAGCCACTTTAAACCCCTCCAATCCATACATGAAGCAAACTGACACCCACCATGAAGATGAGGCACGATCACGAACGCGAAGCAAAAAAATAGCAAGGCAGCCCACTATCTTAAACCCCCCTGCAACTCAGACTAACCTGAGCACAACAAAGTCCCCACCCAAACAGAACCCTCCCCCATCCAATCAGAGTACAGCCAACCCCCTAACCAATCAGAACACACCTCCACTCAATCAGAACACAGCCAAGTTCCCACCTAATCAGTTCATACCTCCACTGGCAGTTAAAAGGAAGAAACAGCTAAGACCACACATTGCTCCTCGAAGCACGAAGCTGAAAACACCAGCCTGAAGATGACGAATGGGACTTCGTCGAAATGTCGCCAAGACACTTCCAATTTTATGCGGGAGAAAACCCGAATAACCAAAGACCTACCAAAGACCTACATACAAACACCCATGAAAACCTCAGAATATATATATATATGTTTGTGTGTGTGTGTGTGTGTGTGTGTGTGTGTGTGTGTGTTTTCTGAGGTTTTTGCGGAGAGAGAGAGACACACACACACAAGAATACATTTATATTCATTCAGCAAAAACATAGAAGTCTGAGTGATTCCTATTTACTTTATTACCTTATATAGAAGTACAGATAATCCTCAAGTTACAAGTGTTCACTTAACACTCGTGCAAACTTACATGATGAGGGCCCCTAGTGGTAATGAGCAAGTCCCGAAATTACGAATGTTGCCACACCACAGTAGTCATTTGCCCTTACAAGTGACCGCAGTGGCACAGCAACATTCACCCTGGTTAATTCCTCCCTTCCCACCCCCACCCAGGTCTCCCTAGGCACTAGGTCTTCAAAAGATCAATGACAATAGACACAAACCAGGAGGAAATTGGAAACAACTTTGATGATTTAAATAAGCATATTTCCAATCTAAATCTCCAATTTAAAAACACCCAGGAAATAACAACGAATGATCAAATAAATCAGATTATAGACTATAAATTAGAAGAGTATGATCAAATTGATGAAATAACAAATGAAAAAAAATACAATTTAACACAAACAGGAAAAAATATACAAGATTCTGATACAAGAAAATTGGAATGGACTATAGAATTACTAGGAGAACCATCAAAGTTTGGGAGACAGAAAGTATTCATCTTACTTACTTCACCTTTTGTATTCCCAACATTTGTAAAAACATAGGAAACGCCGGGTAAGTGGATTACATCAACTTGGAAAACTACTTGGCAAAAGAGGACCAGAGACAGATACAAGAGATTTGACTTGCCCTACCAGATGGACTATTACATGAATAAACATTTGTTTGAATATGGCTAAAAGAATAGAGAATTTTGAACATAAAGGGGCCTTATAACAAGAAGGATAAGAGATTTAAGTAATATAGCATATTCCATAATATATGAAATGTAAAAATAGCAGGTTGATGTAACTTTTATTAGTATAAGTGAAATATAATCGGATTAAAAAGGATGTTATATCTAGTTTCCATAAGACAGATAAAAAGTATAGTATTTTTATGATGCATGACATAAAATATTGGGATGATGTACCTAAATGGGAAAATTTGGACAGATTTAAAAAAAAAATCTTTAAAAAAAGAAATGCTGAAACTTACATGCTTGTATTAGACATCAGTAAACAAGCATGCAAAGTGTCATCTGCAAAATTATGCTTTTGCATGCTTATTCTCATTTTAGCCTCATGATTTTCTATGGTCAGTTCTACTGCTTGGTTTGGTTCAGACATGAAAAAGCTGTATTTGTTTTTTTAAAAAATAATTCCAAATAATTGGGGAGCTAATTATTTGCTAACTCCTTTTGACTGATGGAGATACTTTCATTTCAGAAAGAGGGAGAAAGAACCTTTCTTGAAATATGATACAAGTGCAGTATAAGAAGTGGAGAAGGAAAAGTTTTGCATCTCTGTACAGGATACCAGAATATGGTATTTGCCAAATTGAAATGTGGGAAACAAAAGGAATATTACTTCATTGAATGAAATAGTAAAAACAATCAAATGGTAGTGATTTGATAGTTTAGAGAGGAGATAAGATACTTAATGGAATACATATAGTTACAATGTAGTCATAATGACTACATTTTCATACTATAAGTAATATCTTCTTGAATAAAGAGGATTATGTTGCTAGTTAAATTTGATTAACAAATGTGATAGTAGAATAATAGATTAAAGAGGCATCTATTTTTAATGTTAGAGTCACAAAATATATGGAATTGAATCTTATTCAGCATGGGTAAAAGGATAAGCTTCTCTGATGAATGAGATACTCTATAGCAAGGCTGCTAAACTCGATTGCATCAGGTGGTGCATCATGACATATCATGACATTTTTTGCCTTTGTGGAGCTAGGGTGGGAGACTCCTGTGTGTGACACATCTGGTCTGCTGGCCGCCAGTTTAACATCCCTGTTCTAAAGGCAAAAGGCTAGACAGTTCAGTTCAGAGGAATATATGGAGAACTGTCATTACCTGTCAGCATTGTGAGAGAGTCCATACAAGAAGCACACCAGAGGGACTAGCTCTAGTAATAGCTCTACTTTACTGTAATGTTATAGTAACAGGATCTTGCAAGTCTGAAAGTATATATATCTCTCTCTCCTTCACCTTTACAATCCAAGAAGCCAGGAAGCTAGGGTCCCTCCTAGAATATTTATCATGTCTTCATTTTATTGCCGATTCAGATTTCATTTATCAGACCAGTGTCTACTCCAGTGATGGCGAACCTTTTAGAGACCAAGTGCCCAAACTGCAACCCAAAACCCACTTATGTATCATTGGGTGCCGGGTGGGTATGGCCCATTGGGCGGGCATGGCTGTGATGGTAACAGCAGACTGGATGGGACTAAAAAGTTCAATCAATCAATTCCAACTTTGCGAGATCTTTTTTTTTGTGAGAAGTTGAAATTGATTGATTGATTGAACCTCTTTTTTTTGACATGGCAGCGGAGGCCTAAAGCCAAAAGGTTTTATAAAACCCAGCTGAAGGCCTAGGACTGGGGCGACGGTGCATGTGCCCACAAAGAGGGCTCTGAGTGCCACCTGTGGCACCCGTGCCATAGGTTCGCCACTACTGGTCTAGTCAGTGGCCCTTCCACCTGTCTTCCAAGGAAATTTCTTTTTATTTGTTAAGGTAAAGTGTGACAGATTCTGAGAAGAACAAGCAAACCAGAAAATAAGCCCAATGAAAAAAGATGAATGTAATTGGTATAAATGGATGTTTAGCCTTCATTTGAAAGCTATGAAGTGATATGATAACCTCTGTACATCCCACACAGGAAATTTAAGACTATAAGATCAAGACTATCATTACAAGGTGCAGACTAATGAATGCATACTAAGGAACAGCAACTGTGCTAGAAATGAACATTCTAATGTCAAAAGCAGTTTGGCACTGAAACAAGATAAACAGAGAGACAGTGTATTCCAACATGCACAGGTTGAGACTGGACCAATATGAATGTCTGGACTGGTTTGGAATGGTCTTTTTCAACATTGTGATTCTATAAACTATGAGGCAGATGTCTACATAATGATCCACCCAGTCCAGCTTCTTATCTTATATTCTTATATGTGTGTGCTTTCATGCATGTATACATATGTCTATACAGCCTAAAGAATAACTGAAGCAAAAGCAAAATAAATAATTTGTAAAAATGGTCTTACATGAAAGTAAAGATAGTTAAAAATGCTATCAGTTCATTGTAGGCAATGGAAGACTGACAACTTTTACTTTACAATCAAAGAAAAAAAATCTTTGAGGCCACTTGATTTCACAAGAAATCAGATAGTCTATCTGATTTAGATAGTCTATTTAATTGTCTTAATTCCCAGTTGCATTTTCTCAGTACCCAATGTGTGTATTTTCAATTTTGTTCATTATTTTTTCTAACAATTTAAAGTCTGTAGACCTTCATAGATTTTAATGAGAACATAAACTACATATAGTCCATGGGTGTAATGGTATCATCTA